GGTATAACAGCGGAAGGAATCAATCAAAACTATGCCATTTACGAGTTGGCTTTGGAACGCGGTTGGTTGAAAAATGACTTAGATTTGTATAATTGGTTTAAAATTTATGCTAATGTACGTTATGGTATTCGGGACACCCGACTACACAGCGCTTGGCAATTACTCCGTCAATCTGTCTATTCCTACAAAGGATTATTAAAAATTCGGGGAAAATATTCTATTGCAAGAAGACCGTCCACAAATCTCAGTCCATGGGTTTGGTATAACACTTCAAATGTTTATGCTGCTTGGGCTCAACTTATTTCCGTTATAGGAAATACTACCATTCCTCCACACAATCTGCCGTTTGTCTCCCATGACCTTGTCGACATAACTAGACAATTTTTACAAATAACCTTCGACCAATTCTATGTGAATTTAATGGTTGCCTACAGAAGTAAGAATATGGATAAGTACGTTTATATAGCGGATAAAATGCTGGAGATCCTAAATGATCTCGAAACCATATTAGCCACTAATATGGATTTCTCATTAAGTTGCTGGTTAGAAGCAGCGAAAAATTTAGGACGAACGCCGGTGGAGAAACAGCTTTACGAAATGAATGCACGAAATCAAATAACTGCATGGGGGCCTAACGGTCAAATTTTGGATTATGCAACGAAACAGTGGTCCGGTGTTGTTGTTGATTACTATCGGCCACGTTGGGCGCTATTTCTACAAATGATACAAAAAAGTCTGGAGCTTAATCAAAAATTTAATGAGGAAGCATTTAAACGTACCGTTAGTCAGGAGATCGAAAACCCGTTCAGTATCAGCATTAAAGTATACCCATCGGAACCGGTCGGTGATAGTTTTACTGTTGCTCAGCGAATTTTCCTCAAATGGACGACATTCACTGACGACTCCCGTTTCAAAAAGTATTGCATCAAACCTATACGAATTGTATAAGCTAATATTTGACAAAACTTATTAAGAAGATAAATTAGTACTAAGTACATATATTTTTTCTATTGTAAAAGTTCCTATTATTTAAATTATAATGATACTGAAGTGAATCTACTCTACTTTTAATAGATAGACTTGATTGATTCGGGATCACAGTGTTTTCCGTAGAGTGCTAGGAAGAAAACGGATTGACTCTGGCATTGAATGCGTTTATTTTTAATAAATATTGATTGTTTGTCGATTAAAAAAATTTTGCATGCCATCATATCGTTCATTAAGTATGAAAATGTATCCTTTCTTAATGAGTATTCGCAGTTAACATACCGAGAATAAACACGTTACTGAACTTTGACTAATTTTAGACCAGGGTAGATAATTTTTGAAAACAAAAAAAATCTTAGTAGAATGAAACCCATCGGAAATGAAAGATGAAATAACAAATGTTAAGAGAAAAATAATTTACAGCCGATCTGTGATCGGGAATAGGAAGGGGAGGGGCGTGATTGACTTTTTAAGGGTCAAAAACGGTTTATACCGATTTCCGGCAAAACTACGAGTCCGATAGAAAAAAGTTATATGACAATGTTGTATGTAATAAAAAAATCTATAACTTTTGTATATAAAATTTTTTCACATAACTTCAAAATATATGGGAAAAATTGAAATGATGAGGCTGTAGAACGGCGTCGATCGAAGTTTTTTCTTAAAACGAATAAAATGTAGCGCACTTAATCGCTGTCGAAGAAAACTGCAGATCAAATTAGCTAATGTGGTGATGAAGTGTGCATGAAACTGCGTTAACAAATTGGCTGTCCAAACGAATGAAGTGGTCGCAATGATCCAGTCCTTTTTGTTGCTTGGTGATGTGAGGTGTCTCTATCTCGTTATCTGTTCTCCGATGTTGAGTGCTTATTTAACTAACCTAATTGTTGGTTTTTTATTTTTATCTTGTACAAAAAAAGTTTTCTTTCACAAAACTTGGTATAAACTTACCTTCTTATGTCCCAAGCACACTGTTTTTTATATTTAAAATATTTATTTTTTCTCCTTATATTGAATATTATCGAAAAAAAAACCTTAATGATTAATCAAAAAATATCGAGTAAAAATTTCAAATTTTTGAAAATATGAGTAGGGTTTATGATTGCTGAAATCTCTTCTTTCTAATGGTATTAAAAATATATACATTACTATGGTAAATTTGCTCATAAAACGCAAATAAGACCCTACTAAATAGCTAAAAAACGGTTAAAAACTGCAGTTTATATTTCATGTATCGGTCTACATTACTACCATGTGCAGTCCGTCCAAGAGCTCTTTGGTTGATGGCATGGCATCTATGGGCTGGTCCACAGTTATTACGGGAGCATCGCTCTCTGAACAAGATGGCTGATCAGGCTGAATGATTCGCTCAGCAGCCGTCTCCTTACTCTTTTTTTCTTTGCACTCATCCGTCTTCTTATTCCTGGGTCTCGTAATGATCGCACTGTACTTGAAGTTCAGGCGATATCCCTGTTCGTCTTCGTTACTTTTGTTGATAACTCTCCAGGTCGAGGTAATTAATTAAGGTAATTAATTAAGTGAGTCTATGACCTTCAAACTAAATTAATATGATACCAAATTTGATTGTAATCCATTTACGATTTCGTCGAATAGTGAAGTTGAACCCTTTCGCTACATTTTTAATATTGTCAACTCCTGAAGATATAAGCCGGCTTTGATCCTTGTAAGTTGCAAGAATATAAAATGTTCGGTTACACCCGAACTCAGCCCTTCCTTTGTTCCTTTAATGGTTGTCATTTTATGTTTCGTTTCCGATGGTTCTGCACTAGTCTATTTATGAATAATTGGGTTTAGAGCGAAATTAATTTAAGAAATCTTGATAATTATCCAAATAAAAAATTTAAATTCCGCATGAGTACTTACACGACTATCAATCGATAGACAAAAATAGAGACGGATTTCATATATTTATATTTTATACGTATGTACATCATTACATTTCATTACTTTTGCTAAATGGAAAAATTCTTTTTTTCGCGTTAAAAAACGTTGCTGTAATCATTTATTTTGGTTTTCTATAAAATATTATAATTGATTTTAAGTCTTTTGTTTTAAAAATATAAAAAGAAATTTGTAGTTTCATTTGTCATTTCAACCATTCCCATAAGTAAAAGTGAGCTAAAATATGCAAAACAAATGTTGACAGAATTAAAGATAGAGCTTTTACCACTTCAATGACCAATCCGCAAAGCTTCAATTCAACTCGATAACTTTGTTGTTGAGAATAATCAGCTATAATAGCAATTGGCTGGATTACAATATCTTCTCCTAACTCCCATATAGCGATTATAATCCTCTCTGTTCTTCTTATTGGCTACTAATCACAGGCGACTGAGTAGCCAGTAACCATATTCTGTTTATTATGTATCACTAAAATCTCAGAACAGTTGCCTATGGCGTAAACGCCAGATAAAATCCGAGTCAACTGCCCACTGACCAAAATTGTTATCCAAAAAAAATTCGTAGTTCTTTAAAACCTCAATTTCGGAAAGATTGGAGTTGTCGTTATGCTTGCATTGGATACTATAAAATATTTTTTATTTGCGTAAGGCTACAAATATTTCAGCCAATGTACTTGAAAGCACAGATAACAACCCAAAGTTAAAACTTTTGGCAGCGTTGCTCAAATTTTTTACATAAATCATAAAATGTAACATAAAGAAATGGAAATTGACAATCTTTATAAGAATTTAAAATAGTTATGTATTCATAGATAAATAAAAAATTAAGCATATTTTCTTTAAAAATATTCAATAAACACAAACTTCCAGTTTCCTGATTTTGATATTTCTACCTACTATAATAAAGGTAGATAGTAATCGAGAATGCACATAGAACTTTTGCTTCGCTTTGCGACAGACATTTGTTTTGACAGAAAAGTTCGATGTACGCTTTTGTATGACTACGTTCACACAAAAAGTTTTCGACGCGGAGCTAAGCAAAATGTATGATATGTTACGCAAAACGAGGAAAGTTAATTGAATGCAGTAGGTAGTCGATTTTCACTCGATAGTTATAATCTCGTTATTATAGATTCGTAATATGCGTGTAATACATTATAAAAATGTACATTGATACATTAAATAAATATAAAGAGTAAAATAATATTTATAAAAAACTAGGCGCCCTCCGCTGCGATCCGGGACGCTCGCTTCGCTCGCCCCTGCCCCCCGCCGAGCGCGAGCTAGCTCGCTCTTATGTTAGTTGATTCTCGACAGCAGCAGAAAACTTTTATATATAATAGAGAGATGTATAATCAACTTGACAAACTCAGGCATTTAAAGCATCTAGTAATTTCATAACATCCTCTTCTGTTTAATTTTAAAAATTCTTGCACAAATATAAGCAATACGGCTAATGGTTTTTCAAAAATGTAACTCCAAGTTGTTATCTACGTTTTCTAGTATACTGGCGTCAGTAGCCATAGGAAGTGAAAAATACTGTATCTTTTTTAGTATCCAGAGAAGTAGATCAGCAACTATGAATCACAAGCTATAGGTGTGTTGAACTAGAATGTAGTGTAAACTAAAAACTGCATTTCGATTTTGAACTTGAGTTCAATGAGAAGATTCATTTCCCACCAGAATCAGAACTACGGACTGGGATTGATTACTGGACCAAAAACCCTTTATAGCTGTCTGATACCAACGCTGAAAGACAACTTTTGAAAAATGTTGTTAAAATTTAATATTTATATGCAGCCAAGAACTGTAAACTGGTTAACACGAAAAGGAAATTTGAGAGCAACATTGGGTTTATAAATACTATACCTACCATATTCGGAAATCCATCTAAAACGATAAAATAAAAAATGTTCCCCCTTTTTGTCGTCTTTCACTGGTTTGCATCGGTTTTTTCTTTTTATTTATATTGCAAGCAAGTATTGAACTCGCGCGATTCGCACATAAAAAGCAAGAAAAAAAATATGTATATGCAAAATCTTGTATAATAAATTAGACATGCAGAAAACAAGTAATGATAAGAACATTGAGTTTTAGTTGTGAAATTAATTTCAAAGGTTTATTCCGTTCTATGTATAATTGCTTAGTTCAAATGGTAAAATAGTAGCAATCGTAATTTTTTTACTATTGTATTTATGTCATCTCATCACGCTCTTTGCAAATGAATATGTTTCATAACGCATAATTTTCACAATATTTCGTTAAGTTTGATTTTATATTTAGTATATATATTTTTCATTTACCAAACACATATTTCAAGACCATTTCGCCTGTATATGCATAATATATTTGTTGGTATAATTCATTTTCACTCACATACGCTTACAATCATTTGTGATTTATATAACAATTAACGCATTTTGCTCTTTTTCTTTAATGTAGTTTGCATTTGTTTCTCATTCAGTGTGTGTGTGTGTTTTTTGTTGTTGTTTTGTTTTCTTTAATATACAAACTATTTCTAAATTTAATAAAGAAACGCAATCATTCGCTTTGTTGATTATATTAAATAGTCTAATAATATTTATATAGATTTATGATGTTGGATTTCTTAAACATTCATACTTCGACGACAAATATTCATTTCAAACATAACTTTAGAATTATTCAATTTTCACATACGGGTATTAATTATAAAAAGATGCATTTGAATAATAATTGTTTATGTGGATTTTCACTTGTTTCTTTTTCACGTAAATCAAAACATTCGCTCTTCACTCATAACATCTTTCAAATGTTGATATTGTTTTGTTGTTTTTACTCATCCTGCATATCCTCCGGCAATTCGTGCGGATTCAACATGCCAGGTATATTACGCTGCATCAGACGCTTATTAGCCTGCTCCTCGCGAAGTGCTGCCTCTCTCTCTTCTAAGTATAAGTCGGAATCGTCCTCACCAGTTATTTCCTAATAATGGAGACATATATTAGTTTGTAATTAAATTTACATTCTGCAGATTAAAACGTAATGCATAAATAAACTACAAATTTAGCTATTAGATGTACAAAACCTCAAATTGAGTTCTACATTAAAGTAAATTACAACGTTTACAAAACTTTTTTTTTCATTTTCAGTCTTTAAACTTAAGAACTAATTGTTTGTTTTCATTTCGTGTTAACTCACCCTAATTTGTATAAGGAAATCTCGCAAATGCTCTTTAAATGCTTGCACATTTTCGTCCAGATTGAAAAGACCAGTAACAAAGACCTTTATCTGGTTATCAGTTAAGTGATTGAAAGCTGATTTCAGCAAAGAGGCCACATACTCTTGTATGAAAATGGTGTTGTCCGGTATTGGGCCAAGGCTAACAGTAATTTTGTTATTCTCTACCAATGAGAACATATATGCTAATATTGTGGCATGATTGGCGAGTCCTGCTGTGTGCGAAGTATCAGTGACAACGGAGAATATCTGCATTAAAATATCAGTGAAATACGTTTGATAGAAACTTTGCGCAGCCTGTGGGTGTTGTTCCAAATTTTGCAACATCTGTAAAAAGAAGATTAACATATGTTATTGTATTTTCGAAATTTTTCCTAATGTATGTCTGTTTTAAGTTTACAGATATATATGTACCTTATATAAGATGTTCAAACCCATGTCAGCAACATTGCGCATCGTGTGCTTAAAAGCCCATACAACGGAATCGAACACAAGCCTAAATTGTGCCGGTGGAATATTGAGAAATGCTTTAAAGCAATGCGCATTGACGGCTTGCAGGAGCTCGTAAAAGCTAGTTCGGTGTTGTGGATAATCTTCGAAATTCTTATTAATCATATCTAGAGTGCACTCAAAGACGGCATCAAATATTTTTGGTACTTCGTTTGTGATGTGATTGCGGAGTTTGTGCACAATTATGGCCATTGAGCTAAGCACTTTTGGTTCTCTGGCAGACGGCACCTTACAACGCTATAAATAAAATTTTGTTATTTCATATAAATATGTACATGTATTTATGTTTTTGCGATATGTGATGTAATGTGTAATATTGATTTTTACCTGGTAATCTAACAAAACAGCATCGAGTAGTGGCGGAATAAAGTTATCCATAACCAATTGATTGTCATTAGAACGCGATACCCATTCCGAGATTAAATTCAAAGTCTCTTTTTTTACAACATTCATTGATTTTATAAGCGGTTGGTTATTTACAACGACACCGTTTACCTCAATCGCCTGAATTATGTTTTCAGATGTTATTTTATAGACATTGAGCATATCCAAATATATACGTCCCAACTGAATTACGTAGGCATGCCCTAAAGCCTTACATGCGGCTACATTCGTCTTCAAAATGCTACCAAGCTGCTTTACAGCTGTCATATTTTTGAGAAAGTCAACATTCTTGGAGGCACGTGAGATTATATCATCCCAAACCTGATTTGGCAAGAACATATACTTCTCAATTAAGGCGTCCTGCTGTACTTGATCAACCTGTGCGGATATCATGTAGCCAACTGCTTCATAGAACGTATGCACCTAATGGTAAATATTTAAATTAGTTCAACAATACGATAACACATACATTTTAATCACTACTTGCCTGTTGAGGCTGCAAGTCACAAATTATGCTGCTCATGGTGCTTAATATTTCATCGATGAAGGTACATGCCTCATTAGGCTGTATGGTCACAAAGTAGCGTCTACATTTGATGGCAATTTTTATGAATGTATCGCAAGCCATATCCTGCACGCCATCATGTGTTTCGTGCATAAATTCGAAAAGTTTATTAACAACAGTTTTCAGAAATTTCCAATGAGCACGCAGAAAGCGTGGATACTGTCCAACAACATACATGATATTAGAGGCGATGATAGCCTTATTATCTTTACCCTTTTTTTGTTCGCACAAGCCAAGCAGATCTTTTATAACTGTAACGAGGAAACGTTTTTCGTCTTCTTCGCAGAAAGCACCTACAAATAAGTTTAAAAATACTTGATGTTATAAACGTGTACTCGCTAAAAATCCAAATAAAATTAGGTGAAAGGCACTCTTTTCTACTCAGTATATTGTGGAAAATATATTTAAAAAAAATTTTTAAATTGAAATTGTAAAATAGAATAAAAAATACATAATTTGAAAATAACATATAAAAAATAAGCCAAACAAATTTAGAGCGGAGTAAAACCGGATATTGTCAGATTGGATTAAGGCATACTTCTTCTAGTGAAAAAAGTAATACCAATAATTTCTTAAATTTCATGGTACGTTATTCTAAAATTCGGAAAATGTGCATTTTTACTTACGTACATACATACATATATCATTTTTGCCTTTCGTAATATAAGATAAGGAGCTATCCATATTAAAAAACTTGCGTTAGTTATCCTCGGAATTATTACGTTTGCTCTTAAATTTTTTTCAATTAAGATTTCATTAGAAAACAAGAAAAAAAAAACGTTAACATCGGTTGTATCAAAGCTATGCTACGTCATAATTACGAAAGATTCCATACAAGAACTTGATTTTTATCGGTCAGTTGTCTGCTATAGTGGCCCGATCTGAGCAAAATATATTGTAATGTTGCCTTGAGCAATAATTCATGCCAAATTTCGTGTCTAATAAAAAGTTTTTCATGCAAGTACGCGATTTTAATCGTTAAGTTCTTATAGCAGCTAATATGTTATAGTGGTCCGATTTCGTTTTCGACAAATGAGCAGCTTCTTGAAGGGAAAAAAATTTGGGTTAAGTTTCAGATCAATATCTCAAAAACTGAGGTACTAATAACACATACAGACAAATGGACTGAATAAATCGACTCAACTCGTCATGCTAATCATTTCTATATACACATATACTTTACGAGGTCTCCGACTTTTCCTTCTGAGTGTTACAAACATCGTGGCAAACTTAAGATACCCTGTTAAGGGTATAAAAATATCAAAACGATTATTCACTGATACATTCCTACATGTTAACCTAATCCCAAAACTTTACAATTAAATATAATAATAAAATGATACTTTAACATTAACGTTTACCTGATATGGATCCTATAGCCCAGCAAAGCGTGTTAAGGTTTTTCCATGAGAACTCTGTACCATTAACTTGATTCATTAGCTTTAATGTCATTATGCGTTCTGTGTCAGCATAATCCAAATGTGTAAGAAATACGAGCGTTTCGCGCATATTCTTATATAAATTTATGGCATTAGTATCTTTCATAAATTCTCGAACAACTTCGCCATTTTCATTTTCGACAACAAGTACTTCTTCAGGTTTAGCCATCCTTGAAATCATGATATATCGAACTTTAGATAAGATATTGCCGTAAAAGCGACGTCGGGGAAACACATTACGTTTGGCTAAAGATACTGCATCAGTTTGAGTAATATGCGTTGTAGCGCCCACAAATGTTTCGCTATTATAAAGATCCTCAACCAGATTATTCCAGTACTCCATACAAATTTTGAAAACCTCAACATCCTCAACTTCGGATATCATTACCAAATAAAGTAGAGCCTGATTTAAATAGTCGATATATTTGACATCCTCTACAAGTTTACCATGTTCTTTCAGGAATGTGCACAAGAACATTGCCAAATTCTGAACAAAAACTTGTTCAGTGCTGCTGCCGTTAGCGTAAATATGACTCATATTGGGATTTTGTCCGATCATTTGATCTAACTGCACCATCGTATCCTTAAACATTCTCGCAAAATTTTCATTATAATCGGGCACAGAGAGGCCTGCAATCTCAGAGAGGCACTGCAATGTAACATTTCGAAACATTGGGACACTTAAAAATTTATAAATTAGTGTTTCAATTAATGCTGTCTCAAATATATAGCCCAATGGAATCCAACTCAGGAATCGGAGCAATGTCTCTAAAGTAACTTGTATTAGAGGTGCATTCATAGAACTTTCCAAAACAAAAGAACAAAGCTGAAATATTTGCGAAAATTCTGAGCACATGGTATCTTTCAGATGTTTAGCCTTCATTTGAGTTATTTGCCCAGCTGAAAAGTCAAAAACCTCTTCACTAAGGTTTTTTAAAATAACCATATTATTCTTGCAAAGGCTTTCGTTTGTCTTCGAAGCTCCTACAATGTCACTTATGAATGTCTCCCAGTTCCGAGGCCATTCACGTTTCAATATCTGTACCAATATTAAATTCAACTTGTTTAAGTATACTTTATTTGCCTCCATTGTTTCAGGATCTGAGGATGTTTTAATAATAAGTCCAACAACATATTTCTTGATTCCCTCACACTGGTTGCGGGGTAAAATTTTCCAACGAGTTTTAATTACTTCTTCCAGTATTTGCAGTGCATAAAATTTGGTTCTCTGATTTTGAGAGAATTCTAATATGCTGTCTACTCGCGTCCATGCATCTGGATGCTCACGCAATGTTGTAAGAATATCTTGTGCAAGGCGTAACTGCTCCCCCTGTGACGTATACAAGCATTCTACAATCTTGTCTAATAAGCTAATGTCAAGCTTCTGAGAAAAATCCAACAATTTGCTGGCTTCCTCCGTCGAAAGCATCGCCATTGCCTTATAATAAAAGCAGCGCTCTCGTCTGCGTCTATCGTTGATGTTAGGATTAATTTTGTTGAAGACGAGAATTCAGGGATTTTGTATATTTAGGTATTTTATGTTTATATATGTTATTTCACAGATGAATCTGAAAATTAAAAACAACTAAAATGAAAAGGTTGAAGAGTTTTATTTTATAAAGCATTGAGCAAATGTGTGATTATATATGTATATATTTTTATATGCTCCATTCTTCTGTGAACCTTTTAGGCAATTGCGTCGCATGCGACATTCTACATTTCCATATGATTTTACTTGCGAGCGTTTAAAAGTCTTTACCTCTTAAAAATAATTAATATAAATGTTTTTGTAATTTTTGTTATATATTTTAACATCGTTTACAGAACAATCGTACATTTTCTAGTAATATTAAAGTTTTCAGGAAAATGTGCGTGTCCCGCAAAATACATCCATCACATACACTCTTCTTCTTTGCTTTATGTATCGCACTTACCTACCAAATATCAGCAGCCGTCGTTATAGTGCTCGCCTCGAATTTAATTAAAAATGCGAAAGAGTTAAAGAAAACTAATGGACGATATATCTTTATTATAAATGGCGAAACTTCACTCGTAATCTTTCATTCAAATCCTCAAGTGAACTCACTACGCTCTTTCACACTCACAATTTATAAAATTTAACAAAATATTAGCGATTTTTTCTACTAAAAAAACGCTGATGACCGCAAAACGAAACTCACACAAATCCTCAGACTTAGAAAATCTTCACTTTCGTCATTTCCTTTGATGTGAAATTCGTCTTTTAACATAATACCAAGAATAACGCGTCCCAGAGTTGTATTTGTAATTACTAAGGTCGACGAACACGCTATTTAGACACTACACTGAACAGTTTTATTAATTGTTGACTCTCAAATGTAATTCAGACGTAAAATCTGTATTGGAAGTTATTATTTAATTAAAACTAAAAGTTATACTTAATGAATTATCTAGCTTTTTATTTATGAATTTAGAAGATAATATTGTAGCATTATGTTTGGATTATTAAGCGGTAACCGGTTTCGTTTTTAATTAAAAACTCTACCACACTGGCAAACGATGCAACAGCCATGCGTGAAGAAGAGCCAAAGAGAAGAAAACGAGAATAAATCAACAGACCGCTGGTTTTATTGGTATAACATAACTTTAACTTAGCAATCCGTAGAATAAAATTTATACTAATCATTCAAAATAAATAATCTTTTAAAATACTCAACTTAGCATTGTGACAACTGATTAATCGTCAGTTATTTATATAGCTTAGGAACAGGCACTGGAAGTTTTTATTACGGGGCATCTCGACAGGCAATTAAAGATTGCTAAGAATCTGAATCGCGAGCAATATTGACAATGGTGACTGCGTATTGCTAATATTTAGCAATTGATGTCTAAATACATTTCATGCCATACATTACTAGCAATAAACTGTCATTTTGATGGTTTGACAGAGCACACAAATTTTGAAAAGGCAACATGTACATGCATAGCTTCGGTGGCATGATGCCAACAAAGATGAAATGCCAATGTTTTATATTTCGTTGCGTAAACCGTAATTCAGCAAAGTAATATTCAAAACATGGAAAATAGCATTTAAATACATACATGGCTGTCCTCATAAAATTTTTAAACAGTTCAAGATGATAATTTATGATAGCATATGCCTACACAAAACATTGCCAACCTCAATGGCAATGTATTTGACAGATGGTTAAGATGTACATTGCTTGTGGAGAGGTGGCGTAACCATTATTATACGATTAAGGTTTTTATATTTTAATAATCCCATCCTATGAAAGCGAACAAAAACAAGAAGAAGCGGTAAACATCGCTTTTTTCACATGTGTTTAACAGCTCCTTTTTCTTTCTTAAATTCGTTAATTGTGGTCGTTAAATTTTATTCTTATGTTTCAATCGTCGTCCCTTCGCAAACGAAAACCGGTTTGGACGGCAAAATGAGCCCTCGTCTGAACATGCAAATATATGACTTAGGACATTTACACAGTTTTGCGTGTACAGAATGCAAGTTTTGTGAACTGTTTTCGCCACGCACTCACAATAATCGAACTATCTGTAGGTCAACTAACCACAACTTGGTGAGAACGGTTCTGTCAGTTAAAGCTATCCCCCAGTTAAGCGGTTAAAGATAACATTAACCAGACATTGATAGAACGGCCTTAATAATGATATACCAGACATTGATAGAACGGCCCTAAATAATGATATTGAACGACAAAATAATCCCCGTCTGAACTCCGTCTATGCTTAAAGATTTAACAGCTGACAACTCTCATTTCAAGTTCTGGTTAGAAATTAACCAAGACCAGAGAATGTAAATGAATATATTCATTAACATTCTCTGCTATTACGGTTTTTAACCTAACTGCATTTTGGTTGAAGTTTTGAAATTCGGTACTATAGTTTTCAACTCAACCCTTCAAAAAAATTTCGGTTGAAGCGGTGTCAAACTTCATTTTTTTTTATTACGGTTTTCAACTCTGTACCAGTGGGGTTGCCTAGAATTTAAAATAATGCCAACTGCTAACAAGCACTTAAGCATTAATGAATTTATTTAAAAAAAATAAATATGAAAATGAAAAGTGGGTAAAGAGAACTAGCAAGGCAAACATTTAAACGACGCAATTATATATGTTCTGAAGTTCAACTGTCAAAATTTTACTTTCCATTTGGCACAGTAAAATGTAAAATTTTTTCACCCTAACTCAACACAGGAAAAATGTTACCGTTTAGCACACAGCCTTTATATGTGATTTTTAAATCTGTTAATCTGGCAAGACTGTCATTTTATTTATGTTTTATTGTTTTTGAGTTCTAATTGGCATTTTTTTCTTAAACTATGTCGATTTATATACTTTGTTTAACAACAAATGGAGGTTTACCTGTCTTTACCCGTAAAAAAGGCGATTGTGACAATGTGAGCGTAAATTTCGATTTTCTAAAAATTTCATTGACAACAAATTAATTCCATCTTCCTTTTTACAGCTGCCTTTTTCTACTGTGGCTTCATTAAATGGTTTTCATATGTTTTTTAAATCTTTGGGCATAACGTTACAGGTAACATATTCCGAAGATTGGACTTATGTTTGGAGAGATTTTCACAATGCCGTCACTCTGATCGTTTGTGCACGGTCCATGACTGAAGGAGTATTGCAGACATTAGCCGAAATCGTTTTTGGTTCAATATCACTTTTTGTTAATTTTGATGAGCTTGTGGATCTGACTTTGCTAGAGAGAATGAAGAAAGAAGCAAGAAATTATATGCCTGTTGTAGATGCGGCACTTGAAGCTTGCACAACGCGCGTGATGGGATTTACAAATTGTATACTATCAACTGAAAACCAACAATTGGCTCAGCGATTAAACGATTTTAGTGGCCTGTGCGGTTCACTCTTTTGTTGCCTTGTAGTTGGTAATAATGTTACGGTCGGTACAGAAGGCTGGTGGGATTTGGATGCTATAGATCGTGAATTACTTCTGCTTTTATTAAATTCGTCAAGTTCTCTACAAAATGACATTCCTGTATATTTGCCGAAAAAAGACGCAACGGTAGAAAAAATATACTTACTTTGTTTAATAATTGTATTTTGTTTCTTTTAAAAGTTAGCATATAGATTCGTAACAATTCCATTGGCTCCAAGTAGTGTTATTTGTGTTATATGCGGTGCTGCACCTAGTTTTCGTGAATTGCGGTCTATGGCGCAGGACACATTTTGCTCAGAAAGTTTATTGCAGAACATGGAACGAAGTATAACGCGCAGCTTACCGGAACAATTGGAGATCGATCAGTGTGTTCTGGCAATAATTGTAGCTAATCTGAACGTTAAAAAATGTATACTTACACCTAATTCCAACCAAGCTTCAGGTGGAAAAAGGACAATAGGAGGAGGCATTCTACGTCTAGATTTATTAAAAAAAATTTTCGATCAAACCGTACAATACAATAAAAATATTAATGGTGTTCATACAGATGACCAAATACGTTCGCGTTGTATTGAACCACTGGACCAATATTGGTGCTTAGATTACTATAAGTGCTATGCTCATTATGATAATATTGGAAACACTATTTTTATCTTATTTATGTCTTCAGTTCCAACGCCGGCAATGAGGTATGTTGAATTTCAGAAAATATTGTAGTATATACAAATAGGAAACAATGCATATAAATGTGTATGATATTTAGTAGTGAAAATAGCTATTTTAATATCATGCTAATATTACTATTTTTTTCAGATTCATAGCCCAAAAACTTCTATACTCAATTCTACAAGACAAGACAATCAGCTGGTAGATTATTATTTAAAATAATATATTTTGTGGAACATATAACATTTTGTATAACATATATACATATATATATTTATGCATGTAATATTTAAGTATAATTTATTGTCTGAGGATATATTTGCTATTAAAACTATCGTTTCGTACATTAAGACAGTCTGTATAATATTTTGGAAATTGTTATTGTCGGTGTTCTAGATGTATATAATCATATAAGACGTAAATTTTTATCATGTTACTAGCAAATATATATACGTATTTTATTTTTTACTTAATATTTTTTAGCGCACATTTTGGAGTAATAACAAAGATTAACTTATATAAGGTTGTATTAATGCTCATAATTCATGAGAAAAACAAATTATTTTTTTGACATTATGGATTAAATTTTTGTTCGTAAAGGATACACCCTCCGAAGTAAGGAGAACTTTATTATTAGTGTCAACGTTATTTGGCAAGATTCGAATTCTATTTGGTTGATATCATAAATACGAATAATAATTCTCTACACATAGTATATGAATTAAAATTGTATAGAAAAATATGAATAAAATAAAATGCAGTAATAAATGTTTATAATTAAACTAGATAAAATGAGTATTGATTGGCAAATCTAATGAAAATATAATTTACATATAGATACATATATAAAGAAAACAACTGCGCGTATGAATTTTTTTTATATCAATAATGAAAAGTTACATAATAAGTTTTTTCGTCGATTACTGACTAACTGGCTTTCATCAAGTAGAAATTTTTCATATTTAATATTATTAGTGTCTCTATTCAAAGTTGTTGAACTTAAAAAGTGTGTCCTTCCGAAGCATCTTACTCAATACTCATTGAATTTGAGTAATAAATTATATATTAAGATTAATTGGAATGTTACCATTGAAAATGGAAGTCAATATGTGAAATAAATCGAGTAGGCAAGGTTAATACAATATCTCATTCTTAAAATACGAGATTTCAGAGTGACTCTTGTCATGCTTTACATTTTCTACTTATATTACAACATTTAATGGTTTGGTTTGTAAGATGTCATACTATCCGCACTCATTTGGCGCTTGTACTTTTGATAATTGTGTGTATAAACTCTTTTTTTTTGTTTTTTGTGTTTTAACTTACTATTATTATAACACATTTAAATTTTATAAAGATTCCTGCAAATCTCAACTAAGGATAGCGTTGGAACATTACATGTACTTGATTTAATTACTTGCGGAATTTAAAATTGTGAATAACTAATTTTCGTGCAGAAGTTGTATATAACTAATATACCTTAGTTACTTGATGTTGTTATAAATTTGGGATTTAAGCTTACATTGTTAATAAAAACATGCTTAATAATTGGAAATTATTGATTTCTTTGTGCTTTTTCAGCGATTAAATCCACTAAATTATGCATCTGGACAACATTTTAAAAATATAGCAACAATGTAATATAAAAAAAATAATAATTTATTTTAATAAAAATAGCACTTCATAGCTCAAAAGCAAGATATTTCATAGCATATATGTTAATGTTATATTTTTGTTTACACTTATAATTTTTGTGATGAGTTACTTTTAACTTATTTTCCTTGCTAGGTTTTAAATGATTGGCTTTCGATAAGATACATTTAAAATACGTACATGTTTCGTCCTTAAAATAAGCAACTAATTTATACCTGGGTTGAGAATTTGATCTAAGCTTGCATAAGTGCCAAAGAAAAAGCCGCATAAGCCAAAGAGCAGAATCGCAATATCTTTCCATAATATCCAATTATACTTGCCCAAACCCACAGGATAGAATGTGATTATGTCAATTATTGGTGGAGCAATTAGCGCCAACGCCGAACTGCTGACAGCTCCCACTAAAGAGATTATTGGACCCAAATTTGGTATGCAAACAGCCAGGAGAACTAAAAATAAAAAATAAATTTTAACGAAATTCTGCTTTGATTGTGATCATTCGAATGTATGTCAGCTATATGCTACAGTGGTCCGATCTGAAAAATTTGTTCGGATATTGTAGCGTTGTCTTGGAGAATAATCCATGCCATATTTTGTAAAGATATATTGTCAAATAAAAAGTTTTCCATACAAGGGCATGGATCAGTTTGTATGGCAGCTAAATGCTATAGTGGTCCGATATCGTCGATATGGCTAAATTGACGTAGCCTGTTATGCTGATAATCTTCTACTTGTATATAGATATGTATGCATATAAAAATTACGTGTCACGTTTTCTCCAAGGTTATCTCCTAAACTACTGAACCGATTTTAGTTATATTTATCACACTGTGCCCAGTTTGATTCAACTTAAAAGGTAGGGTAATTTATATCTCAATATTATTGAAAGTAAAACAATTCATAAATAAAAAAATATATATTTCTAAACATAAGCATGTTTTCAAAATGCAAAAAAAAATAATAATATTTTCAGTAAAATGGAAAATTTATTATTTTTTCCATTAACAAATATTTGTATGAATCATTTTCAAATTTAAACCTCAAGTACAATCCCTTGGATTCTTATTTTCAAGTATAAGGGTTAATAAACTGTTTGACTATTTCAGGAATGGCTTCTATCATATTATGTCGTAATATAATATGTAAGATTTTGAAAACGAGAAAAACTTAAAATCACAATATTAATAAAGTTCGGACCAACAAATGTATATAGAATTACTTACATGTAACAACAACTAATACAATCCGAAGTAACGTCGATGCTAAATCTTTTGTGCGTTGGTCCTCGCATTGATTGCGAATGAAGGGCTCAACAATATTAACAGGTACATAGAATTGCAAAGTGTATGATAGGAATATTGCTATGGCCATAGCTATCCGTACCATCTGCGATATGCTATAAAAAGAATGCGCGATAATAAAAGTGTATAATTTATTTTTAAGTTCATTGCATTTCAGCTGAATCTACTTTTGTCTAATAGCAAAATATTTTATAATTTATTATATTAATTCCAAATGTTCATTACTTACAAGTGATCAGGGGGCAAATTTAATGTTATGCTGCCCTTAACATTCTCTCCATACTTTAAATAACCGAAGAAGCCAACTGTGGTATACAGACATGCCACAATAGTCATTCCAGTGTTCAATACACCCGTTGAGCCTCCAAAATCTTCAGGTCTCTTCATATTATTTTCTAATGGTAATATTACTCCAATTCCCTCAAATGCATATATTGCTGTGCCGAAATACAATGGTAGTTGAGCCCACGATGCAACAGGTTTTACTGTGTCCGTGTCAGGTAAATCTTGTAGTATATAAAAAAATGAGAATGCTAGACCTAATACGGTAAGTACTGCTGCAGCTAATGACACCGGAGTTAGGTATTTGAGATTACGCACAAGGTTTAGGGGTATCATTGGGAGTAAAATAAGTGTTAAGTAAACTTTAACATTTATATTATTGTGGCGAAAATAATGGTCCACCACCTCTTTTATATTAAATGCCACAAAAACAAAGTATACACAGCAGAATCCAATTTGGGTGATAAAAAGGAAGGTCGTTACAATACGCCTGAAATTAAGCTTTATTAATATTATATGTATATATTACGGAATTATTTAAAAATAATTGTTGGTTAAAGGTTAGAAAACTTAACCTTACCGTGCAATGTGCGAATAACGTCTCAAACCACTGGGTCCTGTCTCGAATGAACAGAACGCTACTTCCGAAAAGCTGAGTGATGGCTGTTGAAGCCTTCGACAGAGCTCATGAGCACATTTGACCAGCATATGCATGCAGTGTGTGCAAATCGCTCCCATTATTAGCGTACCAAATAGTCCCACATAAAGACCAGCGTTTTTAAAAGCATCTGGCATTGCTAAAATTCCTGTACCGATATTACCCTTCAGTAAATGCACTAAGGTGTCAAAATTCGAGGTGGGATGCTCCAACGTCCGGTGCAAAGAAGGATTATATGTTGACTTCTCTAAACTCTCATTTGAGCCTGCGGTTTAAAATAAGAAAGTTATAACAAAGAATAAAAATAAGTAGCCGTAAACTACCAATGCTTTCTTCACTTTGAACATTTACTAATGTATTTTCAGGAGAATTTCGAACATCTGGTCGAGGTGGATATCTTTCTTCCGACGCAGTATTTTCCGACTGAAGCAAAAGAGGTTGACGTTCGGTCATTTTCTTCTTAATTATCGGCTATGAAAATATGAGAGATGATAAAGGAGAACAACAAATAATGTAATTTAATAAAACTCGGGAAAATAATACAAATGAAAAAAAAATTGTGGTAAATATGTAAAACGGTTTGGAATTTTGTGAATTTTCAGCTAACAATTATTGTTAAGGAACAAAAATGTATACTCAATTTAATGAAGTCTGAGACGATGACTATCTTATTTAAGTGATTAAGTAGCTAAATATATCACAGAGTGATAACTAATGTGCAAATAGATACTGGATAGCAAATACCACGGCTACAGATAATTTATTTATTTACTATGTACATACTTTTAGGCATAATTAACTAACACATGGTCTAAATATTTGATTTTTAGTGATATTTTAATGAATATAAAAAGTACAAAATTATACGTGCTATAGTGTCATTCTTTATTTTTATTTCCAATCTCGTATATATGATTAAAATTTAATTAATAATATTAAATTCAGCCCTATATTAATTACACTCCACATTTTAAATAAGAATAAAGGTCGCCTTGATGATGTAAATGTATGTTTATCATTAGGATATAATTCATATAAGTGGTTATCAAAATGTGATAAACAAATTTGACAAAATCAATAAATAACAAGGAAAATAGTATTTAAAACTTACATCTGATTTTAAAGAAACCGAAACTGATATGGAAGTAATAATCACAGATTAATTATGCTTTTACAACTGGAATAAAAAATTCATAAATTATAATTAACAAATAAAAAAGAGATACATCCAATTTAATGACGATTCTGATTAAGTTGATTATCAAACCTGTTGAAGATTTGTAAGAGGAGTTATATCTTCCATTGATTATTTGTCAATTAAAATATTTTAAATTGAAGTCCTTGAAGCAAGATAGAACTTGTTTCCCAGTTTCCTCTTGAATTATCGCCAGAAAAATACTAATCACAAGTACCGATTTCGCTACAATACAAAAAAATTTAAGATCGATGACTAAATGCAAAACAGTGTCTGGCACTGATACTGTAACAAAGTGGAAATTTTCTCCTTGATACGGTCTACATTCAACAAAAATAGCAGCGTTTGACGTTATCTACACCCGAAGAAAAAACAAATATTTATTCTGAATTGTTAAAACCTAGCGAACAATAATATAACTACATTAAATATTTACGTAGATTGCTGTTGTTAATTGCAACTCCCACAAAAAACACAAAAGATTTCCAGTGTTACCATTCCTCTAACATATTTTTAACCCATTATGGCCCAAATTGAGCCATCGGGGTAATGTCATTTTCGTGCATATCAGAATGGTACTAGAAATAAAATATTAGGAAAATATATCTATTAATATATTTGGCAAGCTTTACTAATTAGTTTAACATAAATAGTAACGATTTCATATATGATAGATCGTGAGAAAATATTTGTGTAATAATTTTATCTGTAAAACAGATTACTTTTAAAAATGTAATTATTATACTTATTATTATGATGAGTGCATTCGTAAATCAGCTGAATAAACTAATCTCAAGATATTAGCTGTCTTCGAGTCGCCATTTCTCTGCTCGCTTCTGCTCTCTTGTCCAAAAGATTACATGTAAGAGCAACAACAAAGTTATCGAGTTGAATTCGTGCAAGAGAGTACTACTCGCTTACATGGGAACGGCAAATTCACTTTTGGTGTTGCTCTGTGCGTTCACACGAGTCAGAAGAGTCCAGCAAATCGAATCGAGTTCTTCTGTCATTCATTTTCATACAATTTTCGCAAGTGTTTGTGCGGTTCGGCTACGCGCCCGTGTGTTGCATATTTCATTTGTATGTTGGGAGGATGGTTTCACACTTTGCTTACAAGGAATTACCATGAATGTGGTAGAACTTAAGTCGGGAATTCCCACCAGCCGTTACTAATATATTCAAGGCCAAATTTATAACAGAAATTTCCTAATCCTTTGGGATATATTAAAAACCCATAATATTTTACTTCATATGTTTTTCTATTCATTATAAAACATTCATGAATTAATTACAAAGTTTAAAATAAAATGATATTCGAACTAAATCTTTTGCGGTTAGGAGATATGAATATGAAAGCATCTTAATATTTTATGTAAATATAAAAAATAAAGTTACCATTTTTATAAGAATGCATTTATCTAAATTTTCTCCTTCATTTTTCAAAATATTTCTATTATTCTATGCATACATTTTTTCATTTACATACAAAAAATTGATGACGAAATTCAAATTTCCTAAGATATCGTATATTACAACTATGAGAAGAATTTCAAAATGAAAAAGAATGCTGAATTGCGGAGCAGCAAGCTATTACGAACAAGAACAAAAATCGTGCCCCCGGGCAAGAGCGGCACGGTTCGTTCGTCTTTCCTTGTCATCTCCTCGCCCACAAAAAACCGGTTTGGGCGTCAAAAGAGTCCGTGTGTGAACTGGGACTATGTGGATACCTCATCAAAGTGAAGATTTATTTAACTGTGAATGACTCAAATGACAAATGCAAATACAAATTTATTTTCTTCTTGAATTTTTAAAACTTAAAGCTGAAAAAAATAATTTTAGTAATTTATAGAAAACATAAATAAAAGATTACAGCAACATTTTTTAACGCGAAAACAAAAATTTCTCTACTAAGAAAGAATCACAACACTATTCTACATGTGTCTAAAAACATGTTAGCGCAGGGTCGGCAGGCAAGGATGAAATGATATTCGAGAAAGAGCTGTCAGAACTCACCGAAAAACGGATTGGGTATTTTAAAAATAACTTTTGAACATTTTGCATTTCGACATTATTTTCGATAAAATTTTTAAATTAAATTAAATTACATCCCTTTTAATCAATAACTTAATTGGCAATTATGTTGTCAATAGATAAAGGTATTCATTAAAAAATTAACAAAATATTTTCCGGTAACTTTATTCTATTAATTTCACTAAAACTTTTTCACTGTAAACTAATAATTTAAGTCTATTTCATGAATTAATATTACGTTTTTGTTTACAATTTACATTCTGCTCTATGCTTCATCTCCTCAACTCAAAAGAATTACGTCACAAGATGGCTGTTGCCGTAATCTTGTATTCTTTCATTCTTATTATATAGTCAATACTCTAGACACATGCTAAAAACGTTTCATAAATGTAATAGATAGAAAATTACCATCTCTAATTTAATATCACCCTAATTTCTACGTGTCTTATAAAATTGTTGCTGCATATAATCTTTATTATTAAACGACATAAAAATACACAATGACTGGAATTAAAGGCATAGTTGCAAAATACTATAACGACTATGTTGAAAATACTCCTCGGAAACTAAAGTTGGTGGACACCTATTTGGCCTACGTACTCCTAACCGGCGTTATTCAGTTTGCGTATTGTTGTTTAGTCGGCACATTTCCTTTCAACTCGTTCCTGTCGGGCTTTATAAGTACTGTAAGCTGCTTCGTGCTGGGAGTTTGTTTGCGACTTCAGGCAAATCCACAAAATAAAGCGATATTTGTAGGTATTTCTCCAGAACGAGGTTTTGCTGATTTTATTTTTGCCCACGTTATACTACACTTAGTAGTTATGAATTTTATTGGATGAATATATAATGAGATATGGTACATTATTATTAATAAATATTTTAATAATTATAAATAAAAAAATATCAATTTAGCAACCGAAGATAACTTTCAAATGGATCAATTTCAATTTCACAAAACTCTAAAGCAATTTCTGGTTCGGGTATGGCATGTTTTATTGCTGGTATAGGGTCGAGCCAGTGACAGAGATCTGGTGAAGGTGTTTTGTTAGTATTTTTGTATTTATTAGGATTTGCGCAGCACTGCTTCTGGATCAATATTGTGTCATTAACATTAATTGGTGTAAGATTTTTAAACACCACTTGATCTGTGTTAAAGTTCAGCCTTTGAGTGACCTGTTAAAATCGTTTAATAGGGTATTTAAAAGCTTTAATCATATGTATGAAAATTTTTACCTTGGGAGCAATTGCCGCCTTTGATCGTGGTGTCAAATCAATGTCCTTTTTAAATAAAGGTGGGCGTAAGGACCGAACATTTTCAATTTGATCTACTTCGCGCAAAATGGTATTCATTTGAGGTGTTTTATATTTTCTTTCATTAGAACAAATATCTTTTACTACCTCTATATGGTTGATTGGATTCGTGCCACGTTTTGCACATTTTATTTTAATATTAGGATTATCTTCATATTTTCGAGAAATTGTCTTTTTATTAATGTTGATAGATTTTCCTTGATAACAGGACATTATAATAATAAATTGAATTATAATTTAAAATGTTCATTTGGTTTGTCGATTACATTTTAAATCCGATACCCAATTTTTGATATGATTTCATTACGGTAGTTATACACTTTCCAAAACCAAGTATCTCTTATATTGCACTTAAAGTGGTAAATGTATAGTTTAGGTCCCCCAACCAAAGAGGCTTCAAAAATGAAATTTTTTTTTAAATCGTCTTATTCTGACGCGAATATCACAAATCCGTGAGCGGAAAGTGAATTTTTTCAACATTTATATTTATAAAAGCCCGGGTGGCGCGCTTTGTGTTATTTTCTATAATAGCTCGCTGCTACGCGATTCAGCATTCATTTTCATTTTAAAAATCTTTCCATGGTTGCAACACTGCTCAGTTTCAAACGAATATTTACAATGTATTATTTGAATGTTATTACCCCTTTTTTTATGTAATAGGCATATGTGTATGCAAATGTGCATACCATATAATGATAATGAACGACAAAAGAGTCCGTGTCTGAACGCAGTCTGTGCAGCTGATATTTCTTATAGATCTCACAGCTGACAGTTGTCATTTCATGTACTGGATAGAAACTAACCAAGACTCCTTCTTTCTGTACAGTTTACCAGAACTTAACTGACAGATGGTTGCTAACTAGATATTGAGAATACGGTTTTTAGTTGGAGAGGAGTTAAGTTCAGTACATCACTTGTTTGAAATTTCTGCTGAGATTTTCCCAGTTGTTACATCTTTCTTTGATGTTATTCCCATTGATTGAACGTCTAAGGCGTCTTCTCTATCGTTTCCATAAATATATTTTGTCAGAAAAAGTTATTACTTTGCACAAAGTCATTACACATATTTTGTTAGAAATAATACAATATGAACTTGAGGACAAATTAAGGTAGATAATTTCAGGAAATAGTACTTGTAAATATAACATAAAGTTTACAAATATCATCAGCTATATACATATTGCTATATAATGCTTTTCAACATTGAAGACATTGTGTAATGTTTCATTATATTCTTTAGTGTGGTTGTAATTATTTTACAATCGATTTTGATAAGCATTTAATGGTATCGACTGGTAATCACAGCTGATTTACCCAATATCGTTTTTATTATATCTCTGGTTTTTATATACAAGTGATCGCAGTAGTCATCCTTCGGGTTGCTGAACTTAATTAATAAATGTACGATTGGAAATTGTAATATATTTGAATGATTAAATTATTTCAGTAACACATTTCAAAATACTTTTCATTGAAGTCGATAAGTGGATTGGCCAACTATGTCTCTAAATATAAAAATCAATTGATTAGTATTTTGAATGTGTGCTGTGACACGAATGCACTTTCATATTAGAAAGTGCAATACTTAGAGCACGTGGCGCAAGTGATAAATTTATTTGTTGATATTGTTTTTACAGAAGATAACATTTGTGAATAAAATATGAAAGTTTTAACCGCAAATGAAATCCGCGAGGCCTTTCTGGGCTTCTTTAAAGAGAAGGATCATCTTTACGTTCATTCATCTAGTACAATACCATTAGATGATCCCACTTTACTATTCGCTAACGCTGGAATGAACCAGTTCAAACCAATATTTTTGGGTACCGCAGATCCCAATAGTGAAATGGCAAAATGGGTTCGTACCACAAATACCCAAAAGTGTATAAGAGCCGGTGGCAAACACAACGATTTGGACGATGTGGGCAAAGATGTGTACCACCACACATTTTTTGAAATGCTTGGAAATTGGTCATTTGGAGATTATTTTAAAAAAGAAATATGCACATGGGCTTGGGAATTCTTAACGGAACGTATGAAACTGCCGAAGGATCGTTTATATGTTACCTACTTCGGTGGAGATAAGGCTGCTGGGCTTGCCCCCGATCTTGAATGCAAGCAAATTTGGTTAGATCTTGGACTCTGCCCCGAGCATATCTTACCAGGCAGTATGAAAGATAACTTTTGGGAAATGGGAGAAACTGGACCATGCGGACCTTGCTCCGAATTGCATTTTGATAGAATTGGTGGACGTAGTGTACCCGAACTCGTAAATGTTGATGACCCAGATGTTCTAGAAATCTGGAACTTGGTGTTTATACAATATAATCGTGAGGCCGACGGTAGCCTGAAACCACTACCTAAGAAGCATATCGATTGTGGTATGGGTTTCGAGAGATTAGTGTCTGTGATTCAAAATAAAAGATCCAACTACGATACTGATTTATTCGTACCGCTCTTTAATGCCATACAAGAGGGTACAGGTGCACCAGAATATGCAGGTCGTGTGGGTGCAGAAGATGTGGAAGGTATAGACATGGCATACCGCGTGCTAGCAGATCATGCTAGAACAATAACTATTGCACTCGCTGATGGTGGTACACCTGATAATACCGGAAGAGGATATGTACTTAGACGTATCCTTCGCCGTGCTGTAAGGTAAAAATTAAGAGTTAAAAGATCATTTCAAGACTGATGAACATATATTATTCTTTTTACTTCAGGTATGCTACTGAGAAACTAAATGCCAAGCCCGGCTTCTTTGGGTCACTAGTTCACACTGTGGTGGATTTACTGGGAGATGCATTTCCCGAAGTACGAAAAAATCCTCAGCAGATAATTGATATAATTAACGAGGAGGAAGCACAGTTTTTGAAAACCCTGTCGCGCGGCCGAGATCTTTTCAATCGTACGGTAGCTAAATTAAGTAACCAAAGTGTAATTCCTGGCGATTTGGCCTGGAAGTTATATGACACATATGGATTCCCGGTTGATTTGACTCAGTTAATGGCTGAAGAAAAAAATCTTCAAATCAATATGGAAGAGTATGAGCAAGCGAAACAAGCTGCATACATTATGTCACAAGGGAAGAGCACTACCAAGACTGATGAAATCGATCTAGATGTACATGCCATTTCCGAGTTACAATTTAAATCCATAAAAATCACAAATGATTCCTTTAAATACAAATATGAAGCTGAATCCGAAAATTTGGCTTCACCTTACAAATTTAATTCATGCACTGCTAAAATAGTTGCATTACGTTTCGGAAACCAGTTCGTAAATAAGATAGAAGCTGGTAGTAAGGCGGGTGTCATTTTAGACCAAACAAATTTTTATGCAGAAAGTGGTGGCCAAATTTATGACAAGGGGTTATTTGTAAAACCTAACAATGTCGATGATAAATTCATTGTTGATGCTGTTTATAACCGCGGCGGTTACATCCTACATATTGGAGTAGCTGATGGAGAGTTCACTATAGGCGATGAAATCGAACTTAAAATCGATATTGAGCGGCGTTGGTTGACCATGAAAAACCATTCTGCCACTCATGCTCTGAATCATAGCTTACTTCAAGTTCTAGGTAAAGAGACTGATCAGAAAGGATCATTGGTTGTGCCAGATAAATTACGCTTTGATTTCAGCAGCAAATCTGCTATGACAATCGAGCAGGTCGCAAAGACAGAACTGTTAACACGCGATATTGTGTATAAAAATGTACCTATATACGCAAAAGAAACAAAGTTAGCCAATGCAAAGAAGATCCGTGGACTTCGTTCTGTTTTCGATGAGGTTTATCCAGACCCTGTGCGTGTTATATCGTTTGGGGTGCCTGTTGAAGAACTTGAAAATAATCTCGACAGCGATGCCGGAGAGAAAACATCAGTAGAATTTTGTGGCGGTACGCATTTACAACGTTCGGGTCATATGATGGAATTTGTAATTACTAGCGAGGAAGCAATCGCTAAGGGCATTCGGCGTATCGTGGCTCTTACTGGTCCTGAAGCAGTAAAAGCTTTAGAAAAATATGATCAACTTCATAAGAAAATACAAAGATTAAAAACTACAATTGAAGATGATAAAGATGGCAAGAATTCGAAGAACTATGTGAGACAAATTGTCGAATTGACCGAGGAGGTCTCTCAAGCTATCATACCGTATGTGAAGAAAGATGAAATGCGCAACCTGCTAAAGCAATTCAAAAAGACACTCGACGACAAAGAGCGGATATTAAAAGCAGCTGTTTCTGTGACAGTAATTGAGAAAACAAAGGAGATTTGTCAAGAAAACCCCAAAGCCACATTGTTAGTAAAGCAATTTGAGGCTTACAACAATACTAAAGCACTAGATGGTGCCTTGAAGCAAGTTCGTGCCTTATGTCCTGACGCTGCTGCATTATTTTTATCAGTTGATCCCGATTCGAAGAAAATATTCTGTTTGGCCTCTGTGCCAAAGAGTGCTGTGGATAAAGGGCTCAAAGCCAATGAATGGGTGCAGCAGTTGTGTGAGATTATCGGTGGAAAAGGTGGTGGAAAACCTGAATCTGCTCAAGCTTCTGGCACAAATTACGAAAAAGTGGATGAGGTCATACGTGTAGCTACAGAATTTGCAAAACTCAAAGTTGGTGCTTAATAAAGTTAACAAGTTAAAATTGTTTATATTAATTTATTTAAATATTTAATTTTTTGGCCTCTTTTGCATTTAATAAAAAATATGCTATTTCTTATACAAACATACAAAAAAAAAACAGTAGTTTTTCATGTATTTGGTTATAGTCGATAAATTATAAAAATTTATATTAAGCAAGGAAGGACTAAGTTCGAGTGTAACTGAACATTTCATACTCTCGCAATTTGAAAATATCAAAGGCGGTGAATTACTTTCAGCTGTTGCAAAATCTTACTTTTGAACAAGTGAGAAAGCGCTAATTTCGGGTGCAACCGAACATTTCATATTTTTGCAACTCGCAAGAAACAAATGCGGAGGAATATCTTTAGGTTTTGGCAAAACTTTATATCAAACTATGTTACGAAAGAGATTCTTTCTAAATTCCTTTAAGATTTCTTACATATTGACCCATAGATGCTGTATAAAGTGAAGCTAAAGAAATATTTATGCTAGGTATATGGGGGCTAAGGGAAGTGTTGATCTGCTGGTATTTTTGACGGTCTTCTAATCAGGGAACTAATAAAGGACCAACATTTTACTGATTGTATGACAGATAAGGAGAAATCTGCATGGATTGAATTTATGTGGATTGTCCAAAATTTCTTAGAAAATAAAAAGTCTCCAGACTACATTCAACAAATTGAGCTGCTTATGTTGCACTGCCAGAGACTAGGATGTAACATGAGCATTAAGATGCACATCCTCTTCCATTTAGACCGCTTCCCACAAAAGTTAGTCGACTTAAGCAAAGAACAAGGAAAACGCTTTCATCAGCACATTCGTACTATGGAAGAGCGACAAAATGGTCGTTGGAATGCAAATATATTTGCTGATTACTGCTGAATCATTCAAAACAACACTGATGTTTCTACTAATTTTTTTTTCATGTTAAGAAAAAACAATATTTTTTTTTAATTCTCAAATTGTAGTATTTTTTTGGCTTAAAATGTAATATGTTCTTATTTCGAAAATTAGAGCTGTTAGAGAAAAACTGACTACAGAATTTGTATCAGCGTGTCAAAATCATACAAAATCGGGTAATAAACTTCATAAAATAAAATTACTGTTTCTCAATGTAATTAAAATTTAGAATGAATGAATAGAAGATTATATGTAATATACGTAATTCAATTTAGTATCGAGATTGAATGCATTTTTAATTCATTTTAAATTAGTATTTATTATCCAGTCCACTGCTTCTGAAAAGTTTTCTACTAATGCTGTTGGCTGCTCCGGAACTGTTATGTTTGGTAAATATTTTCCGGTCTTTACTTGAATTCCTTTGAGCCCTATCTTCATTGCACCAGCAACATCGTCATTCGGATCCTGTAAATAATACGTGAAGCTGTAATATTGTATATTCATGGAATAAATTTGTTACTTACATCTCCTATCATAACACATTCTTCTGGACATATTCCCTCAGGAATGGCACTTTTAAAAAAATATTCATTGGGTTTTCCTATCAGCACAGAATTTACTGCTGCTGCATATTCCAGCCCTTTAATAAAAGCTCCTGGACCTAAGGCCAGGCCATCTGCTCTTTTGTAGTATTTACCTTGGTGTATGGCTACAAGCCGGTTATTCTTGTTGGCCATAAGTAAACTGTAAATAAATATTATGAGAACTAAACAATTTATTTTTATAAGCTTAATTACTTAAAAGCTTTATTCAAATTTTCATAGTAGAATTCACTCGGAGCTAATCCAACTACCACTGAATCCATTTCAAGATTTGGATCTGAGGCACGAAAATCTGATCTCGCGTCTTCACTTAGCAAGTAAAGTGGGTTAAGTTTCTCCTTTTCAACGTAGTTCGCAGCAGCACTTAATGAACTAAATATTTCATGTGCTTTCAATTCAAATCCAATTTTTCGTAAACGCTCATGTAGAGTTTTTCTAGATTCCTTTGTAGTATTAGTTACAAATTTTATCTGAATATTCGTGTCGCGCAACCTGTTGGTTATAACAAAGATGTTACAGTTGGTATCTTTTCGTTGTTATTTGTTATGTAAAAACCTTTTTAAAGCATTTACAGCATCTGCAGTCGGCTCATCTTCAACATGCAGAGTGCCACTTAAATCAATAAGAGCCGCTTTTATGACCATGTTTAAACTTCTTCGAGAAAACAAATGTTTGAAAATGCTCGCTCCCACAAATCCCGCAGTCATAATAGCCGATAACAAAATTTCGATTATGATAAGAATGCCAATTCAGAGCAAACAACACATGTGTGTTTCACACATATCAATAATCTGTATTTAAAAAACAAAAATGTTTGCTGCTCGGAATTTGCTGTATTTTCGAAAAATATCTTTGATTTCTCCTGTTAAAAGTTCTAAGCGCCTTATACTGCGAAGAGAGACACATTCTGAACCAAAAGCGTTGCGTTCGACAAAACCGAAATCTAACAGAAAAGAGGTTGGTTTAAATAAATACTATGTATGTATAATATATATTATTTGTATTGACATGCATAATTACAATAGCCAATTTATTTCGTGGATTCCAAACAAGTACAAGTTATCGGCGGAAAGGGAGGCGATGGCTGCATCTCCTTTTTACAACTCTGGTGCAATGAGAGAGCCGGTCCTGATGGTGGTGATGGCGGAAATGGAGGTCATGTAATTTTTCAAACTTCTCTTGACATGCGTAACTTCAATCATGTCCTAAGTAAAATCCGCGGATTGACCGGAGAAAATGGTCGAAGTGAGCATTGTCATGGAAAGAATGCTCAACACACAATTGTGAAAGTTCCAGTGGGGACGGTGGTACGGAATAAAATGGGCCAAATAGTGGGTGATTTAAGTGAAGTTAATATAATGTTTGTAGCTGCTCGTGGTGGTGTTGGTGGTAAAGGAAACAAATTCTTTGCCACTTCAGTTCAAAAGAGTCCAAAAATTTCTGAATATGGCCCTGAGGGCGAAGATATTACATACATTTTAGAATTAAGAACTATGGCTGACATAGGATTTATTGGTCAACCAAACGCAGGTAAGAGTACTTTGCTGAATGCAATAACACGAGCGAAACCGAAAGTTGCTCCGTACGCATTTACAACTCTTCGACCCTACGTTGGAATGGTGCAATATGATGACTTTACTCAATTGGCAATTGCCGACTTACCAGGTTTAATACGTGATTCACATCTGAATAAAGGACTCGGAATACAGTTCCTTAAGCATGCAGAGCGATGCAAAGTGTTACTTTTTGTTTTGGATGCAAGTTTAGATAACCCTTCCCTTCAATATGAGCAACTTATGTATGAGTTAAGAAAATTCAGTAAAAACTTAGCAGAACGTCCAAAAATAATCATAGCGAACAAAATGGATCTTCCGAAAGCTAAAAATAATTTTCAAGATCTTCAAAGTGAACTCAAAGTAAAGGTAATCCCTATTAGTGCTAAAACTGGTACAAATCTATCTGAATTGTTAAAAGTTATGCGCGAGTATTATGAATTATACAAATAAGAAAAGTACTTGAATATAAATCAACGTTTATTGTTATTCATTCAGTCATTTGTAGTAAATAAAACTAAGAGCTTAAGTTCGAATAATAGTAATGTATAATAGAATTTATATATTTGGGTTATATTTTATTGGTCATCTTCGGCAGTTGGTAGCCAAAAAGCCATATTCGTACATGCCGATGCAAGCATCATGTATTTGGGGTTAAATTGTACGCACTGTACTGGTCCAGGGTGGTCTCCATTTAAAACACACACTTTACATCCCGTATCCGCATTCCATATATGAACTCGTCCATCTGTACTTCCAGAGAAAATAAACTGAGAATCCGGACTGAAACTCGCTTCTATGGGAATGCCCTTGTTGTTGGGGTAACCAGTAAAGGTTTGCAATGGCGTGCCATGAAAGGCATCTACTAAACGTATAATGGATCCATTTGTACTGATAAGTATTATCTTGCCATCTCTTGAGAATTTCAAACCAGTCCAGTCACACTCTTTCTCTTGGTATAATTTAAAAGTTACGAAAGGACCTTTATCGAATGATCGCAAGTCATACAATTTGATGCTTTCAGAATTGACACCAGCAGCAAATATTAATCCCTCTGGATCGTATGCCGCAACGGGGCGGCCAGGTAAATTCATTAATCCTTGACAGTTAGGTGAGCGCAAATCCCACAATCGCAATGTTTTATCTAATGATCCGGAAAGAAAGGTGTCTTCCACCGGCGAAATACACAGTGAAATTACTTTCTTAGTATGCCCAGGGAAGTAGCGCAAATATTTATTGTCATGGAGGCTAAGATAACGTATGTTGTCATCTACTTTCGTTGAACTATGAATAGCAGTATTGTTGGCATGGGTAAACCGTATAAGATCCACGCCATATTTTTTTGAGTTAACTGTTCGAGACTGTATTCCTTTCTCACAATCGTATATAACAATTTGATCATCCTCGCTGCATGAAATCAAATGCTCTCCATTGGGCGAAAAATCTATTGCATTAATTTTGTCGGTATTTTCACGGAAAACTTTTGCCACCTTGAAACTTTTCACTACGGAATCAACAAGCTTCATTTTCATTTTAGCGTACTTTTATATTATTTTAAAACGTAAACAATTAGTAGTAAATGGTGAAATGCAAATTAAAAATTATTCCTCCAATCACCTAAAAACTATCGATAGCCTTAAAGATGTCAAGTTCTTACCTGCCAGTCGATAGATATTTTTTTTGTATTCTATTTTTCATTTGTTTGAATTTTATTATTACATTATTGGTTACGAATTACATATATAAAGGGTAGAATTTAGAATAGCATCCCCCGAATTCGGGGTTAAAAGTGTGTTTAGATTCGGGGGATGCTATTCAAAATCCCAACCAATATAAATTGTTCTTCATTCTTAACTATGTTTCGATAAAATTGTGCAATGCCTATCCGATTAATATACCATGCAACCAGAGAAAGTTGAATTTGATGATTCTCATGTATGGCGTTTTGGTCATAAATGAAAATCTTGTTGTTGTGTGATTTGCTATATATTCTATATTCTGAATTGTCGCATATATCATAATTTTCGTGCTTGAATCGTTTCAAATATGCTTTGAAACATCCATGCCCTGTTAGCATTTGGGTTGAGTAAAAATCTACCCCGCCGTGTGGTCTTTTTAGCCATGTGTCAATGCTGGGAATCGGTGGTGACGTCCAACGTCCATTTCGATTGACTTCCCACCGTCTTTGCCAGCTCTTCAACGTCTCTTCTCGAGCATTTTCTCTTAGGGTTCTGGATGGTAAAGCCAGTACAGGCTTCTTAATCTCTTTGGCTAAGAGGTCTATTGGGTGTAAGCCTGCGATTACAAGGGCAGCATCTTCCGACTTCGTACAAAAAGCGGAACATACTCTGAGTGCGCATATGGCATAAGTGGAAAAGAGGCCACGTTCGTAAGATTATATCTTGAGTGCCTTTTTTTCCATACTTCAGCGCCATATAGAGCGACAAACTTCAGAACTCCAGCCAGGGGTTTCTCCTATTCTAAATGCTGAATGTAGCAGTCTCTCGGGTTTTCGTGCCAGTAATAAACACGGCTTCCGTTTTGATCTCCGCTAGAGTAAGCCCATTAGTTTCAAGTCAATCACTAATTAAGGATATTGTTGCACTGGTTATTGCGACAATATCTTCGAAGTAAAATCATGATTTGAATTTCGGGATGCGTACACACTTACATACATTCATACGTGCATGTGCAGATACATGAGTATTTAAGTAAGAAATACAAAACCAACATATTTATTAGGAAAGTATATGAAAAAACCAAATAAAATTATTAAATTTACAAGTCCAAATTGATTATAAATACTACTTGTATTACTTTGAAAATTACATAATTTAATTAGAATGTTATCAATTTTGCATGCATTCATAAAAATTCGTAAAATTATATTCATATCAAGTTTCCACAAATTAAAAGTATAATCCAATAAGTGTCTACATGTTATGCATACATATTAGCATATTCATGAATGTATGTACATTTTGCACTTCTTAATTTTGTAACATCGAAATAAGCAAAGTTATTTAAAAGGTAAGGAAATTTCTTTTTTGCCTAATCTTTCGCATCAACACTACATTTGGGTAAAAAATTTATTTTTAAACATTTTTCTCTATAAAAAATCGTTCATATTACAAATTTCAAAACGAAAAACAATACTTTTTTTAAATAAATAAAAGCAAATGCCGAATACTTGCTGCTTGTGCAAAACAATTCATGTTACGACTACAAATGTTCCAAACTGACAAATCACAACGAGAGGAATGGGAAAAAGTATGTGGCGTGCAACTCAGTTTGTCATCGAGAATATGTGGGCTACATTTAAGGCGGAGGAAATAAAAGAATCTCCCCTTAAAAGAAGACGACTAAGCCCCGATGCAGTACCTTTATTATAATTACTTTCCACTCTTGAAGGAAACAAGTAAGACACCCTCTTCTTCTGATAAATAAAAATTATACGTTTTTACCATTGATTAGGCCACAAGACAAAAAACTGTTTTATATGTACGCTTACTTGAGAATACACTATTAGAAACAAAAATATTCATTTAATATTTGATTTATATGAACTATTCATCTGAATAAACTGCATTAAAAAATTATAAAAACTATTATGATCTAAAGAGCCGATTTTTGGGGATGAGGTTTTTTGAATGTGTTATCAAACCAAGAATTTAATCCACAGAGTTGCTAGAAAAGAATAATCAAAATCAATTTGCATAAGTTGTCCCCATTAGCCAAGCTATCACACGTGTTTATATTCACAGTAATCATACATATATTTGGCAGTGGTTTTTATTCAATTCATAAAGTAGGCCCTGCGTTTCAAAAGTTTTGAAAAGCTTAACACTTTTAAAAATAAAAAAAATAAAAATATTCTCATATATATTCATATACCATCGATATTTTATCAATTATGATTAATTTTTGAGAAGTGGTCTCAACTATCTATTCAACTGATTAACAGGTAAAGTGGATATTAAGTGAAGTGTCAGTCCACCTATCCGAATGCTGCATTACCTGTAGGTGTTCAAAGAAGAACTTTCAAGGAACTTGGATTGGATCCTGGTGTTGAATTGTAGCGATGGTTAAGAGCTTGATATTTCGTTGGTTGCGACCTGAAAGCTTTCGAAGACAAATGGATGTACTATTCTTAATTTGCAGCAATTCTAATTTCTTATAATTGTAGAACAACTTTAGAGTAGTACACGCTCTCCTGTCAAAGTGGCGAATTTCAGACGTTTTTGACCAATGTATATTGTTCCACATGATAGTTCTTATTATATTACTTGAGGCTTGTTATGGAAAATCTGTTGCACAAAACTTGTAATTTTTGCATTAAAAAGAAAGCGGATGCAGCATTCGGGTGGCCTTGAGCAATAGCTTCGAATACTTGGTTTAAAACCAATAATCCCTCGTATTCTGAAAATAAATAAGAATAATAAATAAAAGTCCCATAATTCTGAAATATTTTAAATTGTCAGTATAATCAGTTTCTATAACATTACCATATTTCTCTCTCACTTTGATCAAACTCGTTGCGACTGCCTCTCGTTTTCAATTTGTCTATTAATTAAGCTATTTCTATATAGGCGAATCTGACTTTGTCAACGACGTCTTCGATTTAAAATTTCTTCCCTCGCACCCCTCCTGATAATGTGTCAACGTTGTGTCTCTCCATGACGTTCTTCCTTCCTTATTTCAGGATTTCTTCTTGCATGTTCTCTTTATATTTGATCACCCATGCGCTCCAAGTTCCTATACTCACGATTTCTTGTGCAAAGTTCTGTACGTTGCCTAGTGTTCCTACTTGATTCTTCAGAACGAATTTGAGAATTTTGTCACATAGTTCTATGCTGAACAATATTTTGACTCTGTTCAACAGACCGTACCTCGGAATTTTCGCGCCGTGATCTATATGCTCGAGTATCCCTACTTTGCTCTTCTGAGCGAATTTCAGGATTTTGACGCCTAATCCTATGCTGAACAGTATTTAAAATTTGTTCAGCAGTGTGCACTTCAAGATTTTGATGTTGAAGAGTATCTATGTATTTCGAAATCTAATCTGCGATTAGCGCGACGTTTTGTGTCTTGTGTTTGTGCATTATTTCTATAAATAATAGAAGAACTTGGATTCATCTTTTATTTTCTAGACGAGGGATTTTAGTATTGAAGTTCCCGCTCACTAGACCGATGATGTTCAACTTCAACCCATTTTCAATCGATTTCATTAGATTAAGATATAATATCATATTCAGTGTGGTGCAGTTAGGCCAGGTGACCTTAGGTGCCAGCGGAAGGTGGAGTTTCTTGATAATAATTTGTTTTAAAGCTTTCGTTGGAGCTCCGCAAACATATGTGCAACTGCTACATATTATTGAAACCAAACGCTATTGAAAGGGACACGTCTTTGGTGTAGTTTTGGGTAAAAAAACTCATTCAACATCTACTCGAGGGAGTGCCGCCAAAATCCCGTCTGAATTCCCTTTGGACGGAAATAACGGACTGTAAAGCAAGGTACTGTTGCACTATCCCAACCCTCCTTTCGGTAATCCAAGCATTTATTTTTTAAAAATTTAAATAATAACTTACCAGATAAAAAAAAGCGTAAGTCGATTACTCACACAAAAAAAGTTATTACGATTTGTATTTGTAGCACGATTCGTGCGCCACCCTGTACGTAGAGCTTAAAAATTACGAAAGTTGTTATACAAGTATTTGATACATGAGGCACTTGAAGAAAACATCACCAGGAAAGCAGTATAAACAAATTTTATACACATATTCGTTTTCTGGGGACTTGAAAAGTTATTGCTCTATTTCGACTATTTTTAGACGTGTGATCGCATACCTTAAGTCCGATTTATATACTGTAAAGTTAAAGAATCATATGGAATTTAAAATTGAAAAATTTGAGACGTAGGCGTGGTTGTACAGCGATTTCGCTTATTTTCACAATGTAATATAAGAAAGCGAAAATGATAATATGTACAAAATTTTGTTGAAATTGGTCGAACAGTTCCTGAAATATAGAATTTCCCTCAAAAGTGGGCGGTGCCAAGCCCTATTTCACCCGTATCATATTGGGTGTAAAATTGTATGGTTCTGATGTATTTATTTATTGATTTCTCGTACTTTTCGTAGTTTTTAACATAATCATTATATAGGGAGTGCGCGTGGTTATTATTTGATTTTACCCATTTTCACGTTATATAAAGAAGAGCTAAAAAAAAACTTCGCCCTAGTACGTTTTATTGATTAAGCGTTAGCGGTTTGTAATATATATGCACATTACACAATTTTAACAAATTTTTAATCCAGAGGTGTTCCTGACTACTGCGAACCCCTGTGCCAAATTACAGTGCTATATCTTAATATAGTGCTAAGATATGGCAATTTACAAGTTTTCGTTTAATGGTGTTTTGTGGGCATGACAGCAGTCCGATTACGTCTATCTACAAACTTGTCCTCATTTTTTTGCCAAGAAATACCTAGTACCAAGTTTCATTACGATATCTCAATGTTTACTCAAGTTTTAGCTTGCACAGACAGACGGATGGACGGACATACGGATTTCAACTTGTTGCGTCATCCTGATCATTTATGTATATATAACTCCATATCTATCTCGATTAGTTTTTGGTGATACAAACAACCATTAGGTCAACAAAACTATTATTATCTGTAGCAACATGTTGCCAGAGTATAATAATAAAAAATTTTAATTTTTAGATCTTTTGAATTCTGAAAACCGTTGGATTTTTATAAAAAGTTATGCCGGAATTTAAGTACATATGTATACATGTACATTCATACAAACATATTATTAAATGATACAAAATGTTATTAAATGATACACATTAAAATATTTACACGATTTTATACAAAATAAGAATTGTTGAACATATACTAATACTAGCAGAAGATCTAAGTATTATGTTTTCGACGGCTCAACGTCTTCATTCTCCGTGGTACTGTTTCCAACCAGTTTTGCAGGATGAACATAGGTTATGCCAGCTATATCTCTTGCGTATGGTTGTACGCCATTAGTTTGTAAATAGTAGTCTCCAGTTATGCTTAAACATTTAAATGAGATAGTTAAATAAAAAAATCTTGCACATTTTTAAAAGAAATTATGTACTTTGTGGGGCAGTCATGACCCATCACAACACGCTGCTCTTCATTATCGACGTATTTGCCATTTTTAAAATCGGCCCAGTTCTTTGCCTTAACAGCATAAAAATGGTTTGAGAATTCCTTCTTGACGCTTTCGGCCCAAAACCACCAAGATCGACGATGACTAGATAAATCTAGAAAGAGTGGTAAGTATAATTAATAAAAGATGTCCCTGTCAAATAGGAGATGGAGAAATTACTTAATTTCAGGGGTTTTAAAATTTTAAAGAAATATATTTTACGTTTCAATAATGATAATAAAACATGCCTATGGATAAAAAAATATATTTAAGTTGAAATTTGACAAATGGAGTGTCGAAATTTAATTATTGTATATTGCAACATGGAAATTTTTTATTCAAAAGGTTAGTCTTTGTATTTCATGAAATGTTCTAATTTTCGCACAAGCTTTTCTCTCTAACTACTGAATAGACACTCAATTCCTGATATAGATACATAATTATATAATAATCTTATATGAAACGTAAACTAACCCACCGTTATCGGAAAGAAGTTTATAATTTCTTTTCGGGCAGCCTGGTTGTAATGTCGTACCACCATTGGGCCAAAAATCTGCAGTCCCAGTACTCACTGGAGCTCCGTATATCCAAGCATCAGTGTGGATTACATCAACGAATTCGGCATCATCTTTACTCAAATGATACGAAAACGTTCCATAAAATAAAGGAAATGCAGGATCTAAAGCTGAAAGCCTTTGAAAAAATATTAGAACACGTTATATACTACAAAACATGGAAAAATGTTTAAATTGCTACATGTTATTTTAAATATTCTGTTATCGCAAATTTCAGCTGATGTTTTAAACGCAGCTGTATATAAGAGAGGTTTTTACAACAATATTGTTAACGTTATAATTTGGCATTATGGGGAGATTTTTCATTGACATTATAAAACTACGAAATCACGTTGCCAACTCTGATACTGTTAGCAAAACAATATTTTAAATAAAAATAGCAGGGACCGTTAAATAATGATTATTGTTGCGGTTTTTCATTGAAAAAATCAAGCACTTAGAATCGACATACAAAAACGTCATGTTAATCCTTTTTCGACGATCTTAGCATTTCCATGATGATTTTTTAATTTCGGATTTTTATGATTTTCTTCACTGTTAATATTAATTTTGATTAATTTTACAAAGAATCATAAATAATTATTATTTTTGAATAAAAAATAGAAATAACAAACAATCATTATTTTGGAGCAAAATGAAAAACCAAAATAATGATTATTTATGGTTTTTATTTTTTTTGCTCAAAATAAAACTCATTTTTAGATCACAGCTTTCTTATGAAGGTTTTTGCTAACTTCGTTGCAGGTCCTTTTAGAACACATCTAAGAGATCAAATTTATGATATGGTATTGCCACGCCCCTTTTCGCCAATCCGAAAATTTAAAAAAAAATCGAATATCAAACGTAATTATTGAGATAGGGCTTTGAAATTTCACACACTGTATATATGTCCTGGTTTGCATGACCATTGAAAATTTTATCGCTATCAGATCCAAAACATGAAAGTTGGCAAGAAACATACGATTGTAGCTGCAACGAGTTTATCGAAATAATAATTTCTTACCAAATTTTCATGTTATTCACAAAAGAGAGAAGAAAGATACATTTTAGTTTTAAATGGGCTTGCAACGAAGTTAGCAAAACACTTCATAAGAACGCTGTGAGCAAAAGTTAGTTTTATTTTGAGCAAAAAATAATAAAAAATAAAATCCAAAAATAATAATTATTTATGATTTTTTGTATAATTAATCATTATCGCTGAAGAAAATCGTAAAACTTCATATATAATCATTATAACGTGATTTTTGAAATATACCTTATAATGATTATGGTCTCGGAAAAATAGTAATAAAAATTTGAAAAAGAAAAATATTTTGTCAAAAGATGAATTATTTTAGTTTTTGACTTTTATTTTTTTATTTTTTGTGGCTTTACCTATACATATTTTTTTTTTGTATGAATTAAATCAATCCTCAATTCACAAATAATTTATTATTGCACAAAATTTAAAATGTTGAAGTTTAAAATAATGTTACATATAAATACTTTGTGCAATACCTGGGAAGTTTTTTCGTTTTGCCGTTACGCCTGTACACTTCTCGTCCAATTATGCCGGCCATTTGTCCGCCTAGAGAATGACCTATTATATGGAATTTGTCTATGTCCAAGCCCATCTCAAACATGGAAATTAAGTTTCTTGCCAAAACAGACGCAAGCTTTAATTGGGTTTGAATTATTTTTGTTTTAATAAAACGCTGGCTGTTTTAATAAAATCAATTACCTGTTTACAATTGACCACAGCGTCAAACATATAATTGCCATTAGCTAATTCACCCCAATCCAATATAATTAGATTGACATTGCTTCGTTGGAGATACGCATCCACAATCACATGTATACTCTCAAAGTCTGCGTCCTCGAGATAACCGTGTATATACAGAGCTGTATTCTTTGTTTTAGAGAAGTTAGAATCTTCTAACAGCGATTTGTAGTCATCTAGATTAAAAATGTTGCTGTCGGCATAGGTTGGACTGTAATATAATTTTTGAAAATGTTGTTAGTGTTGACAGTTTTCAGCTGCCTCGAAAAGGATATAACAGTAAAAGTAATATTGAGGAGTGACGTTGAATGTGACCACAATGACATAATTTGAAACCCGAATTCTCCATATAACGCTTATATATATATGGCTACAAAAAAAGGATTTGGATGATGAAGGTATACAAATAGTTATAATAGTTTTATTTAACATAAAGAAAAATAAACATACATTTAGGTAATGTATAAATCATATAATTTATGATCATAATTTCTCATCATATGCCTATAGTTATTGGGTGCGCAACTACGTTCTCGTTGCAATGAAAGGAAATTGTTACAAATGAATTATTCGAAGTATTGCCCATCGCTAGTCACACCTTTTCCCATCTTTCTGGCAAAGCTCGAATACCATTACCGTAAAACTGTCCATCTTTTGATGTTATCCAAGAATAAAGCCATTTTTCGCTTGTATTCGCTTTGAAATGGCTTAGAGGGTAAAACCCAATGCTGAAGCAAGCAATTCTTGCATTTGACACGGATCTTCATCGAGCTACGTCTGCAATTCACCGTATTCGAAGATTTTTGGCCTTCCTTCACGCGGACTTTGTTAATATCGAAATCACCGTCTTTGAAGCGTCGAAACTAATCACGGCACGTTGTTTCACTTGAAGCAGCACCTCCGTAAACTTTTTGGAGTTATCGATGTGCTCCAGCCGCCGCTTTTTTGACCGAAATAAGAAAAAAGGCACTCGCTGTGCCACGCCCACTGTCTAATTTTGAACGCGGTTCCAATAAAGTCATCTCATACCATACCAGAGATACAATTTAATGTCTCTGACGTGTTAAGTGCTTGATTTATCGCGCTTTTAGTAGTTTTTAACATTACCGTTATATGGGAAGAGGGCGGGGTTGTCACCTGGTTTCACCAATTTTCGCCCACTTTTCAAAAAAAAATTTTAACTGCAGATGCCCTCTCTATTGTGATCCTGTATACCAAATTACAGTCTTGTATCCTATTGTGGAGCTTAGTTATGGCAATTTATTTGTTTTTTACTCAAGTTACAGCTTGCACAGACGGACGTACGGACGGACGGACAGACAGTCACCCGGATTTCAACTCGTCTCTTCATCCTGATCATTTATATATATAACTCTATATCTAACTCGATTAGTTATAGGTGATGCAAACAACCGTTAGGTATATACATATACTTCAAAACATAAGCATGTGTTTAAAATACAAAAAAAAATTATTATAATTTAGAGTAAAATACCGAAAAAAATCAAAACTCAACCACACTCGAAGCAATCGACAATGCAAGATTTAAACGTCAACGATTGTTGGTCACTCCTCGCTCTACGTTCGCCGATAAGCTAAATGTATGTTCCAAACTATAATTCTTATGGCTAATTGTAAAAAATATCCGAACAATTGCTTGATATTAAAAACGATATAATTGAACTGCAACCAAATACATAATATTTTAAGCTGCCAGACAATTGTACACGCAAGAAAAATTAATTAATTGACAAGTATTTTTCCGGGTATACAAAATAATTACTTGAATCATAACTGGCTCAGTAATCGGCCTATATTGGCAACAAAAATCAGTTTCCGGATACAAGAACATTGTGTACCGAATAGTACTGAATTAAACAAAATTGAAAATATTTATAATTAAAAACTATAAATTCTATTGTTAAAATAAAGATTATTTCTGCTACATACGGCATTTATAATAAAAAATATTAAGTTTTATCAACTAATAACTTTGTAAATTACACATTTGTTTCAAGTTTCAATATAACATTAATCAACTAAACAATTCAACATGTTATGATGATTTGTGCTTAAAGATAATTCACAATCATCAATTATCAATTATTTTCAAATTGTCATTCATGTCAAAATTTTATTCCTGTCGATTATTATACCCCCTATAATGTTTTCGCCTTCATTCATAAATAACATTTTTACTCAATTGAACAGCTTACTAGAATCTAATTTAATTATACCTTAGCCACAGCAAGACGTGTCCGGGGTCTTCTATCATACTATTATCCTATTACAAAATTTATTCATGCAAAACGAATCTATATAAAATTTATCTTCTATACATCTAAAATTCCAAGGTTTGTAAATCACAATTTCATTTCAAAGTCTATTTGGGTATCAGTTTCAATTTGTGGTTTATCAATGAATGACATCAGCTAGTATATTATAATTGTTAAAACAACACTTTTCTCTTTCTACACTGTTTTTTAATGAAGCAATGCATTTACTGAAAGAAGGGACAAGCGATTTCGAATTTTTCATTTAACAAATAAGGAAGGCTAAGTTCGGGTTTATCCCAAAATTTTTATGCTCTTGCAACTTGCAAGCATCAAGGCCGGCGAAATACTCACACGTGTTGGCAAAACTTTGTATTAAAAAATGTTGCGAAAGAATTCAGCATGCATTATTCGACGAAACCGTGAGTGGATAACAATCGAATTTGGTATCTTATAAACTTATATTGAAGTTTTATTAATATATTTTAATCGCATTAATTTTCACTGAAACTTGTCCATTTAATTTCATTAAAATATCACATATTTTGACCAACCTGTACGGTTTAAAGTCAGGTGGAAAGTCGGAAATCATTATATATGCTATATTTGGGGCAGAGGTATACTTGAGAACATAGTTTCAAGCAATTGTATGGTATATCACACACTGAGCGACATATTCGTCATATGACTTGTTAAAAAAACGGTAATTTGCATATATGGTATAAGACCAGCCGGAAAATTGTATATTAGGTATATGGGGTCTAAAGGATGTATTGACCCGGTTTTGTTAATTTTTGGCGACATCATATACTATTAACATGCCACATTGTTATAATATGCTCCCTGAGTTTTAATGCGGTAAACTTAACATCACCAATATATGTATGTATATGGAGTAAAAACAGCCTGATGTTAAAAATAGTGAAATTAATTATATGAGGCTAGAGCAAGTTTTCACGCGATTTTATATGACGGTGCAACGTTAGATTGTTATTAGAAAAACACGCTCTCTCGTTTTCACTAAGATAGCACACATATTGGCCTTTACATGGGGTATAAAATAAACAGAATATTCGAAAATCTTTCTATTAGGTATATGGCGGCTAAGAGAACGATTCATCCGATTCAACCCATTTTTCACATACAGAAGATATACCGAATTTAAATAACATATCTCACAGGTTGACCGATTTTTTTGAGAAAATGTTTGTTTTAGGAATTGGGGTCCACATATTCGATATCTGGGGGCTTGAAAAGTTGTAGTCCGACTTTGACAATTTCTATCTACTTTAAGTGTACTTGATTTGCATAATGGAAAGTGAAGAAATCATATGGAATTTAAATATGTGTTATATGTGAAGTAGGCGTGATTGTAGTTCGATTTCGCAAATTTTCGCACTGCGACATAAACATATTAGAATAATACTAGCTATCGAATTGGTTTGAAATCGGTCTAGTAGGTTCCGAGATATGGGTTTTCACCCAAATGTGGGCATTGCCACCCCAATCGTCAAATTTTGACAGCGGGTCCTATAAAGCCCTCTCCTATGATCTCGGGCGAAAATTTTTATATGTTAACGATTGATTTATCGCGCTTTTACTAGTTTTTAACAGAACCGTTATATTGAAAGTGGTCGGGGTTATCATCCCATTTTTGCAGTGCCGCTAGGGGTGCTTAAGAGATTTGTGTTGAGCGAATTTTGTTATTGTGTCTGAAGTTAGGAGATATGAGCAGTAAACCTCTTAGAGGGCGGGGCCACCCCCATTTTTTTTTAATTCTAAAAACTTACCCATAAAAGTGTATAAACTTCGCAACTGTTAGATCCGCATGAGTCGTTTTCAAGCCCATTAATAATCCTGTAAGAAGTTATATAAAGTTTAGAATTGTTAAATTATAAAATATATTTTATAAACGGAAAATAACACACAGTGTTCGTTAAAACTAAAGCACGACAATTACTACAAGTATACTACTAACTAACTCGATACAATTTTCCAACGTTTGCTTTTAACTTTTTTCTATATTATTTATTAGAATATTCTCTCTAAACAAAAAGGTTGTTTGAAATACAATTAGAAATGCTGTTCCACGAATATTGTGTTTGCGTATATGAGATTATGGGGTTGTTGGGGAAAAACAATCTGCAAAACATCGTTGTAGAGCACGAGACCGCCCTATGAACTCCGGACCCGAGAGGAATTCTCCCCGATCTCCGACCTCTTTCCTTCACTGGAGGTTGATATCGAATGATTGGGTAGGCCACCGCAAAATACAAGTTAAAAAGTGTTGATTTCATACTCATATGTGTGAAGTGGATTGTGGCCGGCTTCAGCCGCATTTCCACTTCATACCATATAAATAGTATTTATCAATAACTTTAAATTGTATCCACTCCGTCGCTTCATTGTTGCCTATTTTTATTTTACATTGCATTTAAAAAGCTATGGATTTAATCATTGCCCTTTTGATCAGCGACCCAGTTTCAATCCAACGGAGTTTTTGTTGATGGACAGATTAAAATGTGTTTTTGCGAATTCAAGCTGAGCTCTACGATTATTTCTTAAACTGTTTTCGATAATTAGCTGTTGAATGGATGTCTATATAGGCCGGGTGGAATATATTCGCTTTAGATCGCACGGATATTCGTACAGTAGAATGAAATGGACTGACTTAATCCTTTTTATCATAGTACAATGTTTTTCATATTTTTTAATTTTCTTAACGATGCTATTTTCTATAACAATAAATATACATAGTTAAAAAAAAACTAAAAAAAACACGCTTTTAAACCAATTCAAACTAATAAGAGAAAAATAGTTCTTAGTATAAACTGATAGTTATACTGACCGAAAAATACTTATATTATTGTGAGAAAAGAGTGGAATGCTTTATGAAATATTTTTCGTATATCGAGCATATCACCCTTTTCTCTCAATAAAACAAATATTTTACGGTCAATATTACTGTCAGTTCATATAAAGAATTATTTTTCACTTTTTAGTTTGAAGTGCTTTAAAAGCGTGTTCTTTGGTTTCTAAACTATATTTATTTTTGTGATGTTTTCATTTTATTTAAGCATGTGTTTGAGTAAATTTGTTATTCAAATGACATGGATAGCTGATACTTTCAGCTGAAAAGTTTTAAGAGCATTTTTTTTTGTTTTTGGCAGTGCCTATCAAATTGTTGATTCTTTTGTCACAGTCCCATTTAATGCCACAAAAAAATTACAAACATATATACATACAAACATACATAGATATACATAGTTAAAAAAAAAAACTAAAAAAAACACGCTTTTAAACCAATTCAAACTAATAAGAGAAAAATAGTTCTTAGTATAAACTGATAGTTATACTGACCGAAAAATACTTATATTATTGTCAGAAAAGAGTGGAATGCTTTATGAAATATTTTTCGTATATCGAGCATATCACCCTTTTCTCTCAATAAAACAAATATTTTACGGTCAATATTACTGTCAGTTCATATAAAGAATTATTTTTCACTTTTTAGTTTGAAGTGCTTTAAAAGCGTGTTCTTTGGTTTCTAAACTATATTTATTTTTGTGATGTTTTCATTTTATTTAAGCATGTGTTTGAGTAAATTTGTTATTCAAATGACATGGATAGCTGATACTTTCAGCTGAAAAGTTTTAAGAGCATTTTTTTTTGTTTTTGGCAGTGCCTATCAAATTGTTGATTCTTTTGTCACAGTCCCATTTAATGCCACAAAAAAATTACAAACATATATACATACAAACATACATAGATA